CGGAGGACGCAGAAATCGTTAATTAACTCCGGCGACGGTTATTATCCTAGAACGGCATACAGTCGCATACTCGCACAGGCTCTCTCCAAATTACATCTGACTGCAATTACGGCCAGGCCACGATGAATCTGACCGCAATCACGTCCAAAGCTTTGTCGAAAAAGTCCTCGTCTGAGCATCTCCTGAGGTTATCTGCCCTTCCCAGAGCGTAATAGCCTAAGTACCACAATCTCTTTCTCTCTCTCTCTCTCTCTCTCTGTGTCTGTCCCTCCTCCCCCCTCTCTATCTGGCTCGCATGTGCCTTGTTCTTGCTCCCTGTGCTTCTCTCTCTCTCTCTCTCTCTCTCTCTCTCTCTCTCTCTCTCTCTCTCTCTCTCTCTCTCTCTCTCTAATACATGGCTTCTCTCTTGTTGTGTCTTGCTTTTCTCACACATATCGCCTCTCTTCTTTCCGTTTTTTTCTGATCCGCATATTTGGTATTCCCTATCCTTCTCTCTCCTGCTTGTCTTTTCCGGGTCCCTCCTGTTGCACTTCTTTCTTCTCCCTTTCCCTCACACACACACATCTCTTCCCTCTCTCTCGTCCATTCCATCTTCTTCTCTGTTCCCCTTTTTCTGTATGTGTATGTGTATGTGTGTGTGTATAGTGTATGCACTCTTCTCTTTCTTCTCCTTTTCTCCCCTACTTCCAGCTTCTCTCTCTCTCGTCCTCTTATCTTTCTCTCTTCCCCTCTTTCCATCCCTTCTTTCTCTCTCTCTCTCTCTCTCTCTCTCTCTTCCCGCGTCTCTCGCTCTCGTGCTCTCCAGCTTCTCCCTCCCTTTGCTTCTCTCTCTCTCTCTCTCTCTCTCTCTAGTATTTGGGATTTCGCTGTTCAATTCCATCCATCTCCCTCCTCCCCCGCCCCCTTCCCCCACCATGTTTTTTTCCGTTCATCGGACCTGGTCCAGATACGGTGTGTGCATTGTGTACCGTGCTTCAGAATGCTTACGCTGTTTTCTGAATGAATGTGAGCGCATTTACGGCGACCATTCAGTGGTCCGGTTATGCCAGCACACACGGCCTAGTGGAGTGAATGAGTGTGAACCCCTTTTTGTTTTTTTTGGGGGTGGGTGGGGGTGGGGGAGGAATGTGATCGCATTTACAGCCCACATTCCAGCTCAGAGGATGGAAGTGAGCCCATAGTCTCTGACACAGCGGCAGATCTTGTGGAAACAGAAGTAGGTAGGTAAAGCAGGAAAATTCGAAAATTTGAATAATGAAAAAGAGGAAAATTCGAAAATTTGAATTATGAAAAAGAGGAAAATTCGAAAATTGGAATGATGAAAATCTGTATTATTTGGCTGTTCCCTTCCTCTTTTCTTTGCCTCTTTGCCTTTTGGCTGTGTGCAAGTGGGTCGATATGACACACCGGGGTGGGGGCAGCCGCCGCTCAACCTACATCCACGTGGGCGGCCTTGTACGCAAGAGGAGGTTCTGAACAGGGGGAGTCTTGTAAGGAAGAAGATAAAAAATGAATTTATTTTTTCCTGTTTTTCTTTCTTTTTTCTTTCGTTCTTTTTTTTTTTTTTGCATTTGCGCTCAGATATTCTTGTGACAATATATATAGGGTTCAGCCTCTACTGATTGATGAGTGGGTGAAACTCCGACCAAACAGTTTGTCACAGCCCCCCCCTCGTTTGTTGTCCTTTTCTCCCTCCCTCCCTCCCTCCCTCTCTTCCCCTACGGTTTACCGTCGGCAGCTCCGTTCGACGGTATATATTATAACACAGTCCATCGTTTGTTGTCCTCTTCTCCCTCTCTGAGGACGGTAGAGTTTTCCATCTGGTGTGGGTGAGTGATAGTCTGCTTTGATTTTCGTCACAGGCATCTTGAGGGCAGTGGTTGGTGGTCCCCACCACCTCAGAGGGGTATAAGTTGTCGGGCAGTTCTTGATTGATGCTTAACCACAACCGGTTGGGGTTAAGGGTGGATTTGTATCACTTACATGGGGGTAATCAATCATAAGGTTAGGGGATTCTGCTGCAGAGTGTTTTGTAGAGGGTGCATTTGGCACAACTTTCAGCCCAGATGAGTCAGTAGGTGAAACTCCGACGAAACAGTTTTGTCACAGCCCCCCCCTCGTTTGGTGTCCTCTCTTCTCCCTTCTCCCTCCCTCTCTGCCCCTACTGTTTTTATCGGGCAGCTCTGTTTGACGATATATACAGAGAGAGCAAAGGTTCAAGGGCAAGGAGGTAAAAGGACCAAAATCGAGATTAATGAGAGAGGGGAAAAAAAAAAAAAGAAGGATAAAATTTGGTGAAAGGGAAAAAGAGGAGGACATAATAAACATAAATCAGAAGAGAAACCGGAAAAAAAGAAAGCCACCAAAACTATGAAAAAGAGGAAAAAATAAAATAAAAAAAATGAAAAAGAGAAATCATAGAATGATGACTGCCGGCCAGGGCCAAGCGGCCTCGCTGCATTGCTCACCAAATTTGCTGCAAAATGATCATGAATCTTACGTTAGAACACGGACAGATGCACCGCCATATATTTTGTCGTTTGTGCATGTGGTGAGAATAGTGGAGCCAGGCCCAAGGTCCCACTAGCAAAGAGGATTGGACTAAGTGCTTGAATCTGGGGTAAAAAGGAAAAAAAGGAAAAAAAGGAAAAAAAAAAGGAAAAAAAAAGGAAAAGAAAAGGGAAAAAGGCGAAAAAAGGGGAAAAAAGGGGGACAAAGGAAAAAAGGGAAAAAAAGGAAAATTTTCAAAAAAAAAAGGAAAAAAAAGGAAAAAGGGAAAAAATGGGAAACTTTCAAAAAAAAGGAAAAAAAGGAAGAAAAGAAGAAACAAAAAAAAGGAAAAAAGGGAAAAAACTTCAAAAAAGGGGGAAAAAGAAAAAAAAGGAAAAAAAAAGAAAAAAAAAGAAAAAAAGAAAAAAAAGTAGAACAAGAAAAAAAAAAGAAAATAAAAAGAGGAAAAACCCGAGAACCTTCTCTCTACCCCACCCCCCTTTCAACTTTCACGAGACGCTACAACCTCCTTGGGTAAAAGGAAAAAAAGGAAAAAAGAGGGAAAAGAAAGGGAGAACCTTGAGTACGAACCCTAAACCCTAGATGGTTGTGAATGGCCAATCTCAACCATCTTTTGTTGGGCCGTATCGACCCTCAATGACGTCCAGATTCACTCAAAAAATGCCAGTGGGAGTATGGCCTTACATGCTAGCATTTCCCACAGACTAAAAAATGCCAGTGTCAGTTGGTTTGGATATATGCTTTGGTCTGTGGGAAATGCTAGCGTGTAAGGCCATACTCCCACTGGCATTTTTTGAGTGAATCTGGACGTCATTGAGGGCCGATACGGCCCAGCAAAAGCTGTGTAGAATCTAGCGTGCGTGTGCACTCCCACTGGCATTTTTTGAATGAATCTGGACGTCATTGAGGGCCGATACGGCCCAACAAAAGCTGTGTAGAATCTAGAGCGCGCACACGCACGTCATAATTGGCATTTGATGACCTTTCGCCCTTTTCCAAAGGGAAGAGTGAGGACATACTCACACTAGCACTGTCCAGAATGCATCTGACTGCAATTACGGCCACCTGACCGCAATCACGTCCCGAGCTGAGTCGAAATGTCCTGGTGTGAGTGAGTATATGGCATAATTTGATGACCTTTCACCCCTTTTCCCAAAATAAAGAGTGAGTGATGGCTTACTCACACTAGGACTTTTTCTGCCTTAGCTCTGAACGTGATTGCAGTCAGATTCATTCACATCTGGCCGTAATTGCAGTCAGATTCATCCACATCTGGCCGTAATTGCAGTTAGATACATTTAGTGTGAGTATGGCCTGAAATAAACGAATAGAACAGTGTAAAGTCGAGCAATGTCTACATCCATCAACTCCCTATCATTTTTTCAGTGCATCTGGATGTCATTCGGGGCCGATACGTCCAACAAAGCAAAATCTTTCTTGAAGTCAAGCCATGGCCGCCACTGGCTGTCCCAACACGAGACCACTATACCACCAGTTC